TATAAAATGCATGCCTTCTATAGGAATCTTTAGAAAATGTAGCTTTCCTGTTTGGGGCTGGGGTAAGGGAGACAGTATTTTAAAACGAAACAAAACCCACCATTCTTCTATGCCAATATGTGCTTTCACGCCAATCACCACTTTTGCTTTGATGGAATTAGGGAGCAACTGCGTAAAATAATTAGCGGTAGAAGGGGCAGTTACAGTGGAAGGACTGTCTTGTGCCTCAGCTCACTCCTGAACTGCTGCTTCAGGATACAGCCCCACTTGTTTCGAACAGAAAACCTATACCTTGAGAATAACTGTGCACTGAGACTCCCCACTACCATGCTTCCTGTCCTCGGAGAGAATGATAAGGCCCTCGAATTCAGGCAAACACAAAACCTCACAGCATTCTTACAACTGAGCAGAATTCCCTGAATCTGCCCTAATTGAATCAAATGTGTGTTGAACAGGGATGACAGCCATTATGGTTAGGTGAAAAAAATGAGCCCTAAGCTCGTCCAAGAAAAAGAAATCACCCCAGCAAGTTTCCAGATGAGCCCAGTGAAGAGCCCGTAGCCAGATTCAGTGAGACACAGAGGAGCCTTCCCAGCTGCTTTTCTAAAGAAGCCTGGACAGGCTTGGACTCTTTTTCCATGTTGGCCAATATGAGTCTGGAACAGGGCCCTGTACCAGATGAAATATCTTGATCCTGCCAACTGCTTCTTGGCTTTGAGCAGCTGTAGGAGCAGCTGGTTTTACAACACACAGAGTGAGTCCTTGTTCTGAAGTAAGAGAGGTCTACATTTTATGAAAAACTTAAAAGTTTGGGTCTTTATATACAACTACCTTCACGAGGTTTAATCTGAAGATTCGGTGTGTTTTGCTTGCTATTCATGCATCTTCCAAATAATCAAATGATCTATAATCATTTTATCCAGAGGAAATTTTCCTGTAACTATAAAGGTCAAGTTTATCCAATTCTTTGCTTTCAATCAGAAACTGAAGAAGAGTCATGAAATCAATTATCCCTGAACCAGTATAATTGAAAATCAACCAAGGTCTAGGAATCATAGATTGAATATAAGAATTTACTCTTGCTCCTTCCTGATAGAGGGACTTTTTTTTTAAAGGTATAAAACCACTAGGATAGTAAGAACATGAGAAGAGACAACAATAACAAAACTTCAGAAGCTGAAAAGTAGCAGAGCTGAATCTTAAACTGGCAATGGAGAAAGCCAAGACTAATCCAATTTATTCCACAGAATTCCCAAAAGGCCCTGGTGGCATTACTGGAAGTAGGTAACAATGGAAGGGCTAAAGTAAAGAGGATCTGTTTGCTTCTTTTAAGAAATAGCTAGATTCCAAGACTAGGCACCTACTCCGTAAAGCTGAGTGACCTGACTACACCTTTCCCATCCTGGCAAAAGATATGTATCACAAGATACATTCTCTGGAAAGTATAAAATATAAGTCTCTGGGTAAGGGGACTCAGCACAGCTTGTAGGGGAAGGGGTACTATAATGAAAACAGGGATTGGGTGAACACACGCACACTGAGATAGTCACCCCCACCCTTTTCCACCACGTGGTTTCCAGAAAGATGACAGTAATGCCCAGACCCTCCAGGCAGGTGACTGGAAGATCTCTGGGCAATCTGAACAGCCAAAGGGAAACTGACAGTGGTGGTTTCACAGATAAAGAGCCATCCACACCACCTCCAGTAGAGCCATTGCTAACAAGCCCCACTAATGTGTACCAGGCTTAAATCAATGTTGACAAAGAAGGATCACCTGACATCAGGGGAAAGATTCTAAAATGAAAGATGGAGTCCAAATCAAACAAAAATGTCAGTTTCCAGCACAGGAATATAATAAGCAGAATTCAAATAGTTGGAAACTCTATATGACAAATGGCCTGGTTTCTTCAACAAATAAACTGCATGTAAAAAAGAAGAGAGAGACCGGCTTGTGTGGCTCAATGGACTGAGCAGTGTCCCATGGACTGAGAGGTCCCAGTTCAATTTCCAGTCAGGGCACATGCTTGGGTTTCCGGCTTAATCCCCAGTAGGGGGCGTGCGGGAGGCAGCTTATAGATATATCTCTCTCACATCAATGTTTCTGTCTCTCTCCCTTCCTCTCTAAACAAACCAATAAAAACATTTTTTTAAAAAAAGAGAGAAGTGGGGGAATCTATAGATTAAAAGAGACTTAAAACACATATCAACCAATTGCATTAAATGGACCCTATTTGAGTACTGACTTCAAAAATCCAAATTGTTTTTTTTTAATGAGATAATAAGAGCAATTTAAATATTGGTTGGATGTTTGATGATACTGAGAAACTATTGTTAATTTTTCTAGATATGACATATTATGGTGGTTTTAACAGTCTTTATATGTTAGAGAAATATACTGAAATAATAATGGATGATATTATATGATAGCTGGGATTTGCTTCAAGGCAGTCTGGGTGAGGAAAACTGACTAAACAAGTGTGCTCATGGAACAAAGGAAACCTGGAAGTCTTTTATAATATTATCTTTACTATATGTTTGAAAGTTTCTATAACAAACTATCATTAGAATTCTCAGAGAAGACAATTAAATCATAAAACAGAAACAAACTAATATTAAAAGGAACATTCAAAGAATTTTTAAAAGCTCTTGTAAATAAACAATAACAGAAATAAAACATTCAGTAAAAATTTGAAGAAAAAATTGAGAGCATATCCCAGAGGGTACAGTGAAAAATTATAGAAATGAAAATAAAGAAAATAATAAAAATTAGAGGATTAGTCCAGAATGTTTAAAATCTTGGTAACAGTTTCAGAAAGAGTGAAAAGAGAAAGAGGAAGAAGGAATTCATCAACACAATAATGCAAGAAAATGTCCCAAAACTGAAGACCATAAATTCTTAAAAGAATGCACCAACTTCCTGACTCGATAGATGAAACAGACTCACATCGAAACATATCATTGGAAACTGCAGAACATTGGGAGCAGAGATTTGACAAGTTTCTAGAAAAAGCAAAACAAAAAACAAAAACCCTGGCTATATTTGGAAGCGCAGGAATCAGAAGCATATAGGACTTCACAACAGAAAAAAAACAATGAAGTATACCTTCAAAATTCTGAAGGAAAATTATTGCCAATCTAGAGTGTATGTATCCAATCAAACTACCAATCAAAGGTGAAGGCAGAATAACAACATTTTTCAGACATGAAGGCCTCAAAACTTTTATTTCTATTCATCTTTTTTCACCAACAAAAACAAGGAAGTACAGAAAGAGGTAGAAATGGAATACAGGGAACAAGGGGTCTAGCAGAGAAGAGAGGTGAAGGGAATTTCCAGAATAGTGACAAAGATTTCAAAATAAAAGTCACTCTCATGCCTCAGTTCCCTTTTCTGTGAAACAAGGAGCTAACAGTAGTACCTGTCTCATAGACTTGTAAGGATTCAGCATAAAACACTTAGAATAGTACTTGGCACAAAATAAGAGCTACAAGAGTGTATTATTATTATTATCAAAGACTTGACTCTACCCTATGTTAACATATAACTACTTGACATATTACAATAACTAAAAAAAAAAAAAAATCAATGTAAAACACATTTCCAGCTTTGGAATGACTAAAAATAGTCATAGGGTTTTGGAGGTTGGCAGAGCTCTGAGATTTTTCTAGTGTCATTTGCTTGTTTTAAAGAGTAGAAAATGGAAGTCTAGAGTGGCAGACTTGCCTAAGTCTACACAGGCATTCAGAAGAGGAGTTGGATTGGCAGTCGGTTGTTTCATGTCAACGTACTGAAAATCTGAAGTGCAGCTATCCTCAGAGGGTCAGAGTGTCACACATACAAAAAAATCACAACAGAAATATTTTGTCCAATTCAGTGTTTTTACCCTAAAACCTGGCACTTGGCTCAATATATACATAAGCAGAAAGGCCACAAAGAAAGATCTTTTCAGAGCAAAAAAGAGAGGAAGCTACAGTCGGGTTTACGACTGAGTTAGGTGGACAAGAAGGAAGAAAATGTATTGAATTCACTGCGTAGAAAGGACACCTCTGGTGGGTTTACACACCAAAGTGAGAATCCCTAGTACACTGGACCAATATGAGGCAGCATGGATGGGCATTGCTGATCCCTGACACAGTTTTCTAAGTCTTTCCAAAAGAATACACACCATTTTTAGGATTAGTAGCATTTTTGGTGTCTGCTACCAAGGAAATGATGCTCTCATCAAAATGACCTGACAATGAAGACTACTGAGCAAGGCCAATGAAGTGACTGAGTACAGTCAGGGGAGAAAAGACAAGATCGTAGGGGAAGAGAATTTCTTCCATGCCTTATCAGGCAAAGCACCACTGATACTCCTCTGAGGTTTGAGAGGGTGAGAATTTTCCTGGTAGAAATTCTATGATCTGTCTTCATCTTGTTCCAACTGAAAATAAGCCCTCTGTACACTGGCACAAAGTCCCACTCAACAGTTTGAGATGAATTAATTTTAAAAGAAAACTGCCCATTTGCTTTTCACGGAATCTCAGAGGAAAATACATGCTACTTTCTCTTCTTTCAAACACTGGCAACTTCTATGCTTCTATAATATATACTATAAATTTGTAATTACTTTTGGATATAGTAAATGTTCCAAGGCAATCCAAATACTATGATGGTGACTGGTTGGATTAAACACCTCTTAATATTTTGACCTTTAAGCTGAGATTTAAAGTGACAGGTAAAGGGTTCAAAATACCAAAAAATGCTTTTAATACTTTTTATAAAAGCCTATTTTGGTATTTTTTTATTAGTAAGATTTTCTTCTTCCACTTTCTTATAAACATTAAGTACATCTTGGAAAATCAAATAAACAATACGAAAGTATATACTGGTACCTTAGCCAAGTTAGTAAAAACATAAGAAATAAAAACTATTTAGAAATATTTTCAGTTTCTTCTGTGTTTGAATAGAAACATACAGAAAACAGTTTAAAATGGAAAAATACTGCAATGTCAACACTCACAGAAAAAGTAGGATTCCGGTGTTTGCCAGGGCAAAGGCGAGTCCCAAAATCCCACTTCCCATAATGGCGTTGCTTAGGTTAAAAACAGACATGCCTAAGGAGGTTGTTCCTGGAATCTGAACAAAAAGACAAACATTCACACTAAGCAAAACAGTCCCCAATTCTGTTCATCACACCAAAACCTTTAAAACACTATTAGAAACCAACACAAATTAAATTCAACAAATCCGTCCTTAGTGGTTTAGTTATTTTTTTTAATGGGTTTCCAGAGAAAATACATAGAATCTGAAGAATATCCTGGTGAATATAGAGAGCTATGCCTTTGGTACTATGCTTCATGAATTAAAAACATCTGTCCCCATTTATGTGATTAAAAAATAATCATACTTATTTTAATAACACTTACATATTCATCGCATTTCTTTTTTTCCAAATGGCTGTTTGTGAGACTTCTTCTACTTTCGCGATCAGAAATAAACTTGCTGTAAAGACATGTATAATACATTTAGCTTCATGGTCATGATTTGAAGCTTCACATTATATCTAAGTGATTTATTACTTACCAAAATATATTACACATGAAAAGTTATCAATCTAACTCAAATCATTTTAATACTAATAAAATAAAACACTACACGCAATGTGAGTTAACGTCTATGTAGATTTTTCTCTACAAATTAGATAATGTCAAACATACTATAAAGCTAGCATGTAAAAGAATTTCGGAGGCAGGATTCTTTTGAGCTCACATTCCTGGAGTACAAAGTTATTAAATAGGAATTCCCTCTCCCCTGCAAAAAAGGAAACAACTCTTTCCCCTTCAATTATTGCTTCAGCACCTGCCATACGCAAGTCGCCAGACAAGGTGATGAGGGAGACCTAAGAGTATGTAACACAAGATGCAGACACTGAGCTATAGGAGCTCAAAAGAGGAAACTGGTGGGGGAGGCAGGGCATTAGTCCATGATTAGGGCAGAGCTAGGGCTTTAAGAAAAGCATAGGATTTAGAACGTGAGTTCAAATCCTCACTAGCTATGACAGCCTGTGCATGCTACCTCAGTTTCCACTGTGAAATTAGAATAACACGATTACATTATCTCATGGTGTTATTGGGAGCTCCAGTACAGCTCCAGGCACAGAGTAAGAGAAACAGATGTGATCATTCCACTCCACGGGGGGCATGGGACTTAAGCTGGGACGGGAAAGATTCAGACTGGCGAAGTGGAGTAAACTGCAAATACACAGAAGAAGGAGTTCAGATGCTCTAGAAACCATATTCGGCATTAACACCAGAACATTATGGCCTAAATTTAGAATTTTTAAAAAATTCACCGTTAAAAGAAATTAGTGGTATTGTCCAAGAAAAGTCCATTTGTTGGCAAATGGCTACTTGTATTAGTAAAACACATTAGGCATGCTTTTTAGCTCCTCTTCAGGAAATTTAATTATCTGGTCTTAGTAAGAACTAATCACAGTAAGTTTTCACTAGTGAATGTAAAGCCGCTTTAACTGAACTATTTTAAAGAAGCATACATCTTCAAACTGTACATTATAGTTTCATATGCTCTTTTTGAATAATGCCATGTTTCACGACAAACCGTTATCGATGAAAAATATACATAGTCAATATTAGTTTTATTTACCTATCTTTTTCATCTTTAATCCAAGGGGGTCTGGCTTCTCCCTGGCATTACTTCTCCAAGTTTGCATTTTTTTGCCAAGATAAACCAAAGATAGGCAGTATACATACTACAAACTTCCTCTGAGATCATCACCTGGTATAAGCAGCACAATCTGTGGTTTATTCCCTTCGGCATCTGCCTTTGCCTAGGACCTGGCCAGTTACTGTGAGAGATCAAAAGGAAGGTGAAGAAAACCTTGGTCTCTGCAACAGGAAAGACCACACCGGCTAACAGCAGAATAAGAATGTCAGACTCTGCAAAATGGAGATGAGATGAGGAATCCAGAGAAGGAGAACCCATTACTGGGAGGGATTAGCCAGAGGAAACGTAAGGCCAGAGGCCTGAGAAGCGGTATTACAGGAGAACGACATAATGAAGGCAGTATCTGTGGAGACCAGTCTGGAAGGTGTAGAGAGTTTGGCCCTTCTTTTGCCCTTAACATTTTACGTCTTTCCACAGAGTCGAGGCTCACTAATCTGGCTAGGGAGGGGTAAAGAAAAGCAGCCTTCTATTTCACACAGGCAGCCCGAGGAGATGCGGGGAGTTGACTCACCCAAATGAAATTGATTTCTAAAATAAAATGACCATTAAATAAAAGCCTGTTTTTAATCAGGCTAATTTTACTAATCAACTCAAGTCTATCAACTCTTTATCCAGAAGGGCCCCCCATTTGTCTTTCTGGTGGAGAGACTTCTTTTCCAAAGAGAATTTCCATTATTTTTAAATTAAGGAAAAAACCTAAACATTTTCAAACTAAACAAAACACCAGCAAACCGCCCGCAACAGATCAAAGTTCCCTGCCTGGCCATGTGCCCGACATTGGTGGCAGAGGATGGGTGGGCAGAGAAGAAAGGGATACAGGCACTGAAACATGAGGGGCATTCAAGAGGGTCAAACACTGTGCAACCAAAGGGAAAGAAGAACAAGGGCCCCGCATGACTGCTGGCTCTTTCCTGCAGAACTTCACTGAATGGGGCTGAAGAAACTGACTCACACAGCTGCTGGAATCAGTAGCCATTAAGAAGCACATGAAAACACATTGTGTGTCAAGGCCTCTCTGATTCTGCCTCTTCCGGTGTACTTTCTGCAGCCAGACTTAATAGGTTTTCACAAAAATCTTCATTGGCTCCCCCCGGTGAAAAAGTTTCAAGTATAAATTTCTCACCCTGCCCTTCCAAATGCTGTTGAATTTGACTTTGCCTCAGTGTGCCAATCTCAGCTCCCCCTGCTCCTCTTCCCAAGAGGAGCTCAAGTCTGAGACAAGATCATAGCATTCTGAGAGTAGAGACCGAAAAACAAGGCAGCAGTGGGAATCCACTCTCCACTCGGGAGACCCTCTACCCTTTTCTCAGCCAGTGCCTTCCTGCCAGTTCAAAGCTTCATCTTCCATGAATCTTCTGCTACTCTGGCCTTGAATAGAGTTTTCTGAGTCTGGCCTACTTACTGCTTTTCCTGTGGCACACACTATGCCACTGAACTCATCTCATGCAGAGTGGGGGTACGGTGCTCTCAGTCCCTCGGCTCCTTCTCAGATGCACCTGGCCATGCAATAGCTACTCTGAAGAACCCTCCATAAACTGAATATGTATCTTCTATTTAGGAATTAGGGAGTAGCTTAGGCTACAGGGAAATCAAGCTCAGTAAGAATAAAGTACTTAAAGAAATCCTCTTTATTCTCTTTATGATGTTTCCATTTTCCCCTTCTCTTTAGTCTTTAGATCTTTGCTTTGTATTTCTGTAAACTTTTTTTAAAAAAAAATAAAATCAACCCTTTTAGTCATGGAAAAGTCCATTCAAAATAACTAGGACAAACAGCTTTTCACATGTTTCTGCTAGCTTCCCATTAAAAAATGCAATTGTGTGATAAAAAGCACTGATCTCTGGTAAAGAAATTGAGTTAAATTTTCTCTTTATTCACTTAAAAATGGGCTATAGGAGAAGGTGCCTTTGACATGTGGTCTTGGGATGATAAAATTATTATTAAAAAAGAGTTCCACTGGGTCAGCCTATACCCATAAAGAAGAATTCAATCAACTATTAGGCAGCCAGTTGTTCTGAGAACAAAACCAAACAAAAAATCGCAGTGGCTGTCATGGTGACCTTCAGTAGACAAAGCCTCTAAAAGGAGTAGGCGTTCTACTGAGGTAGTGTGAAGGGAGGCTGAGCAATAAAGAGCAGTTATTTAAAACCAAAAATAAATCAGCATCAACAACAATCAAACAAGGATGGGTTGTACAATAGGAAGATAATCTTCCTATTTTAATCTCTACCAATCAGAGTCTTACTAGATTATAGTGTTTCATGTGAGGATTCACAACACAAAAGAGATAAATGGTTGAACTTAAATAACCTTTCTTTCCCTGAAATTCTAACATTCTATAAAAAAGGAAAAGAGAACAGGAGGAAAGAAACAAATAACAAAGAGGCTGGAGAATATGAGAGAATTAAAGAAACAGCAGGCATTTAAAGAGAAGACACAGGTAAACAAAGCCTTACGTGGGGGGTAAATGCTACTGAAAATAGGAGAAAAACAGACTTTAATTATAACAGGAGCTATTAAAGCAGGAAAGGAATTTTCTGACATAAAAACTGATTATAGAAAGAAGTGATGGAATCTTCTTTTTTAAGGTATAGAAAAAATATCAGAAGAAGGGATAACTTTTCAAGGATCCTCCTAAGTGTTATAAAGTGAGTTCATGAACTCTGAAGGATATACAAGGACAAAAAAAAAAAAAAGGCTGAGGCAGGGTACAGTGACAAGAGTTGCCCTAAATTCTTTTAAGACAATTGTAATGAGGGACTCTCAAACTTTGTTAGATGCTGCCTGGGTCACAACAACAATAACTATGCATAGAGAGGAGAACAGTAAATAAAATTTAAAATATGTGAATATTTGCCTCAATAATAAGGTAGGATAATCTACTAATATTCCAACAACTTTAAAGTAACGACAGTCAGCAATCATCCAAAACCTAAAGTGATATTATTATTCCTTGGGGTAGACGAGAAAGAAGTGCTTGCCAAAGAAAGACGATACACTTTTATTGATAAAGACTCATCTCACACTAAAAGGCTTACTATTGCCAGACACTGTGCCAAGTACTTCTCATCTATTTTCATCATAATTTCATGTAGTCGGTATTATTATTAGCTCCATTTTTAGAGAAATCAAGTAACTTGACCAAAGTAACGTTATTAATAACTAGACCATTGAGCCAGGATTTGAATCTAAGTGGGCCCACTGCAGAGCCTGAAGACTTAACCTACAAATAGTAATAAGTTTAATATTCCCCAATACTGCCATGAGGTAAGGTATTATTACCTGTCTTACTGGGAAGGAACTTAAGCTCAAGAGCACACAAAACCTATTGATTGAGCCAGGATTCAATACAAGTCTAATTTCAGACTACTTAACTGCTCTTTGTCCTGTGTCTATCTTTGTTTTTTTCTCTCTCATTTAATAAATATTTTGTCATGTCCACTCTGTACCAGGCATTATTATTTATTATTTCAAGGTAAAAGAGATAGAAAGATGATTAAGATGATTTCTTCTTTCAAGAAGCTCACATCTACAGGAAGAGTCCAGTGATGGTTTACTCGAAGGGTGGTCCATGGACCAGCAGTATGGGCATTACCTGGAAGCTTGCTAGACAAGAGAATCTCAGGCCCCATCTCAGACCTACTGAATCCGAATCTACATTTTAGCAAAGTTTCCAGATGTTTCCTATGCACATGAAAATGTTAGCAGTCCTTGTCTCGTGGATATTTCGGAAGTCTTTGTTGGTCCAGGTATAAATTTCTATGACTATAAACCAAAAATTAGGGCATGAAATAGAACAATTGAACTGGAATAAAGGCCAGTGTTCTAATGCCCAAATGGCTCTACTCTATTTTTACTTAAACTTTAAAAATGATTCTTATTATATCCTAATGGATAGTTTCCAGGCAAAGCTATAAGCTAGATGCCAGGTAATCAGAGATCAATATTTGTTTTCAACATTTTCTCCAGCTTCCTAAGAAGAGGAACTGTTATATAGAAGTTCACTGTTTTGAGGGATGGTTCTCTTAGATGCATATAATTGAGCCTACCTTCCTCCTACCAATGCAAAAAAGCTGCAAGAATGAGAGGTATTTAGGTGTAGCTTTTGCAGCAATCACAGTGGGGATCTTTTCTGATTTTTATTTACCTATTTGGTTTCATGCCATAATATGTTGTTTTTAATTTTACTTGTTCTAGGGCCAAAAATAAAGGCTCATGAACTGTGTCAATGAAAGAGGGAGGTAAGATAAATGAAGGAATAAATGCATCACACCCATTTGCAATAATGAAACCAATTTCTGCAAAACAAGCGGTCAACACCCAACAGCAGACCACTGAACCAGCTCATTGACTTAGTCATAGTCTCAAGGGAAGTTAGCTCACTGGGCAAGGTGCCCAAGTGCCCAAGTCAGGGGTAAGAATGGATGCTTCCACCTACTGCAAGTGGTCATCACCTCAAAAATTTAATATTTTTCGTAAGTAAAACTTTTTAAGATCAAGTTCAGACTCTAAACTGTACATTATAAATGACTTTCATTTGAAGGTCTTCAAGGTTTGCATTGCTTTGGGAATGAAGCTCTGTTATAAAACTAAAGTGTCCTACTTGTGAACTGGTAGGCATCCCATGCACCATTAGATGGAGCTTGGCAGTGACTACAGAACACTTCAGGAGTACAGAGCATAAATTAGTGCTGGTAGAGTTTACTAGAATTAGCTAATGCCTGACACTTATCATTGGAGGCAGCAGGATAGAGTAAAAAGACTAGGATTTCAGATGGACCTGTGTATGCCCTTCAGCAAGTTATTTTATTTCTCGGGGCCTCAGTTTCCTTACTATAATTTAAAACTTTTCTTATTTGCAAAATAATATTTTGCATGTTGCTATAAGGATAAATGGCAATATATGGAAACACAACTGGCAGTCAAAAAATGTTTGTTATTATTAATAATTTGACACAGAAAAGGTAAAAGAAGTAATCTTGAGTCCAACAACACAGCAAATAAAACTTGAATTATAATGAGGAAGTGTCTGGTTACAGATTTAACCTCTAAGAACATTTGAGGAAGAGAAAAATGAGAAGAGGCGGGGCTGAAACTTCTGAGTGTGTGTAAATGATGGCAGCTATTTTCATTTATTTATGTATACACTATATCAGAATATAGAGCAGACTATCAGAAATTCTTTATTTGAAGATGCCTGGTTAGGTAATGTAATGTTTCCATCTCCTTCTACCCCCAACTCCCTCCCCTCAAGAAAAAAAGTGTTGCATCATTGCTGTTCGAATACGGAGTCCTGGATATTCCACGCTCTTCTCCTAGCCTTCTAGGAGGCTCATGCTTCAAACATGCCACACCACTAACTCCAAGCTGGAGACCTTCCTGCTAAGGGATCCACACAAGCTGGCTTTAAAATCAGTAGGTCAGAAAATACCCACATCATTAAAAACATAAAGACATTTGGCCCAATCCTTGTAACTTAAGAAACACAGAACCCAAGAGTTGGAAAGACGTGCTAAGGTCACCGCTGAGGCCAAGAGCTTCGGGGCCAGCCCTCTTCCCACCTGCCTCTCTACCCCTCTCACTCATGGCCTCTTTTCTTTTCCTCTGCGTCATGTACTGTTTCTCTACTGTAGTTTCTCATACAGCCATGTGGGCTCAACTATAGTTACTATTATTTAAAATCCATGTTGCAAATGATGCTTGTAATCATGTCTTTGTAGTTTAAACATGGGGACATCGACAAACGCAACTTTGATAATTTCTTGATTAAAGTTTGGGGGGAGAGGGTCAGATGACTGTAGTACACAGTCAGATGTGGGGTGCATGGAAGTGCCAATAGTCTGTCTAACTCACAAGCACAGGGCTTTTAAAAAGTTACAGCTGGTTGGGGTCCAATGTATTTACACATTTTTAATGGACTCAATTAAAGATTAGACAGGATGAATAAATTACTTTCCTATTTGCTTCATCTGCTATTGCAGACTATGCCCGACAGATGTCACATAAGAAATTCAAATTACATCTTCAAATGAAGCATAACTTTAGTAATGAATAATTCAAGGGAATAACTGAAAATCAGAATATTTTAGAGACATTTCTTTTACTGGATAGAAAGTGTTAGTAGAAAAATACTCACCTATTTATTTGACCATTTTCTACTTCAGTGAAATCATTGGAATCATTGCTAATGTTGTCATCTTCGGGCACTGTCATGTTTTGCAACTCAGTTAATTCAAGTCCACTTTTGAAATGCATCATGCTTAGAAAGTACCTGTGGTCAAAAAATGCATCCAAATTCTCCTGTTCTGAGTGTATTTACAAGTGGATAGCAGCACAAATATAAGCTTGATACCCCTAAAATGCAACACAAAGAAATATAGTTAAACATATGAATATAACCAACTGATTAAACATAGTTTAAACAAATAGTTAATTTACTGATAATGCAACTTTTACATTTTGTTACTTGATACATTTAAAGTAATCTTTGTACATCAAGTTATAAAGGCTCTAAATGTTATGCCATTCATAAATCTTTCTCTGTTTTTAACTATAAAATGAGTTATGTCCAACAATCTTTACACTCACATTTATAGGAATACCCTGTCAGCTGCAGGCAATATAGACACCCTTTTATAAAACAGTGTGTTGAAAATGAAAGCGAGTTGCTTCCTTTAATGTGTCAGCTTGCAGGACACACATGCAGCTGGGTACAGACCATAGAGCCACAAAATCACCTCTGATTTATCACTCCCAGTTGAATAAACGTGCAAATCTTAAATAAATGGCATCATGAGAGATCAACCACCCAACCCAGAGGTCAAGTAGCAAAGGACAAATCTGTGTTTTGAAATTTAGCAAACAGTTTATCCATCAACTGCAAGAGATTAATTCAATCTCTTCAATGAAATCACTCCATGTCAGGGAATTAGAGAATTAAAAATTCATACTCAGGGGATTTAGGTCAATCTATCTGAAACTACATTTCCTCACCAGAAACAAAAGATTTGCACAGGTCACATTTTCCCCCACGTGGATGACTGTGATTTAAATTTCCAAGGGGTCAACAACAGTATAGAAGGAGGGGACTGGCTTTTGGACACACAGCATCACCAATCAAAAAGCAGGTGGCAAGAGGGGCGAATGCAGTTTCAAAAGGAAAGCTGGAGCCTCACGGGGAGAGCCTCAGTGTGGTGCTGGGGACCATGGAATGAAGCAGAGTGTCAATGAGATTGTTTTTGTTTTTCTTTTTTACCTCTAATGGTAAATGGATGACATTCTGATATTTTTTCTGGTCCTGAATTCCATAAGACGATTGCAACCTAGTTAGTCACAACAGCAATGTGCCAATCTAAGCATTCTAGAATACCTCAAGAAGCATTTGGTTAACTGGTAACATTTTTCAGGACCCATAGAAAGTACCCTACAATGATACTTCTTCCAGAATTGTCTTCTCCTCCTCCCCACAGCCAGGCCACACATTATTCCTTTTTATTCACACAGTCTCCTATCTAGAATGAAACCTTCCCAGTTCCAAGATTCTTTACAACTTCCATCACATAAATACTCTCTAATACCTCAGGTTCCAGGGGGTTCCCCCTTCCTGCAGGGCAGGGTCTCTTGTGGAAAGCAGAAAGCCAGGACAGGGAGATGTGAGCTCCATGAACTCCTGGTCTAAGGCCAACTTGGCAGCTTGGGGCTGATTCTTCTAGCCAAGGTGGTAGTATTAGAGACGGGCCACTTCTAACAGCTTTTAGTGCCTTCACACAATAGCAATGTGTACACCCTGTCTTTACCTTGCAGAAGTTGAATTTCGTTAAAACAGTTGGATACCACCTTATCCCTGCCCCCCGACCCCCGCCCCCTTGATCAAAGTTGCACAAATGGATTACACGGGGTCATTTCTTTTTTTTTCTTTCTTTCCTTCTTTTTTCTAATCCTCACCCGAGGACACTTTTGCATTTATCTTCAGATAGAGCAGGAGGGAGAAAGGGAGGAAGACAGAGACAGAAACCTCGATGTGAGAGAGACACATCGACTGGCCACCATCCACACGACCCCAACTGGGGCCAGGGACAAACTGCAACCGAGGTATGTGCCCTTAGTGGGAACTGAACCCGGGACTCTCTCTGGTCCACAGGCCCACACTCTGACCGGTGAGCCAAACTGGCCAGGGCAATGGGGTCATTTCTAAGAGTCTTGCCACGCTGTTTCTCTCCTATATGGCCCCCTCAGAGGCTACTGAAGTGATATAACAGGCCTGGCAGAAAGGTGGTTCAGTGGATGGCATTTCCCATCTGGATGAATGAGTCCTTTTCTCGCCATAAACTGGTAGGAAACAGGGCACTAAACTAGAGCTTTCTCAGGAGAGGTAAGTTTAACAATAGATCAGGAATCTACTGTTCGAATTTAAACTTTCCCATCAATATATGTGTGTGTCCATGTGTGTATGTGTGTTTACACAAATAAACTTATATACATAAAACTAGTCGTTTGAAAAGTGGACACAAAGGGGAAAAGAATAAAAAGAACAAAGGAAGTCCTGGCCACTAAAATTATGTCAGTATTAGGCAAATACCAATGCTACGTTAATCACATAGAACAATATTTTTTCCTTTAGCTTAAAGAAAAATTTATTTTTTCATGGTTTTGGAAACTAGGAGTCCAAGCTCAAGTCCCAGCCTCCTCCGAAGGCCCCTCCCTTTGGCTTGCAGGTGGCTGCCTCCTCACTGTGTTCTCATGTGGTCTCTGTCCCTGTGTTGTCCTAATCTCTCTCTCCCCCCCCTTTTATTTTAGAATACATTATTATTGTTGTGAAATAACCTATCTGAAATCTAACTGTTCTTGAAACTGAAGGCTGGAAAAATGGAAAAAATTAACTAAGTTAGTGACATCTGTTAGAGGCCACACTCAGAAAACACTGTCCATTCAATGCACCTATTTATTGAGTGCCAGGTGATGAAGGGATGAGAAAGGTTTGGAAAGAGTCAGTTTCAGGGGTCTGAGGCAGCAACATAGAAAAGTCACATGTGCATTGGCTCTTAAAAAAGAAAAAAGTTTTTTGGGTTTTTTTTCGGATTCTAAAACGAATACACGCTCACTAGAATCCTTAGAACATTGTAAAAGAAATCCCACCACCCAAAATTGGCCACTGTCGGATTTTTATGTTTTTCCTCTTTTCTTTTCTTTTTTGTTTCTTCTCTCTAGCTTCCTTTCTCCTGTCTCTCTATTTTATTTATAATTGGGATTTTAGACTGGTTTAACCCACATTTTAAATGTAACATTATAATGTAAGCATTTTGAGGAAGTGCTTTTAAAAAACATATTAGTTCCTCATTAATAAAGAATATAAGATTTTGTAGAAAAATTGTAAGAAACAAGTTTGTAAATGAAGGAGGAAACAAGTAAAAAGAAAAAGTCACCTGTTATCTCAGCAAGCAGAGACAATCACTGTATATATATTGCAGTACGGCCTTCCAGGGTTTTTGTATGCACATAGATATAGCGCCTGGTACACAGTAGGCACTCAATAAATATCTGTTAAATGAAAAAAATGAGTACAAATAAAAAATATATATACATTTCTAAAAATGGAAATCATACCGTAGAGTTTTTAAAACATATTTTTTACTTAACAAGATATGGTCTCCTATATTGACTCATGTCAGTAAACATAGGTCTACACCATTACTTCTAATGACTGCTCAATGGCTTGACTGCTACAAATTGACATGCAACCTATTACTACTGGACAGTCACCCTGCTTGTTGGACAGGAGACTGACTTCTGGAGATGGGGCCTGAGCTGAGACTTCTCAGTGAAGGAGAACATAATCAATGGCTCAGAGGCAGGAGGTGCAAGTGGAGTTCAAGATACAAATTATAGTTTCACTGAAAGGCCGAAGCAATTATCAGACTATACAATTAATAAAAAAGCCAAATGGGGTCATCATGCAAAGATCTTGATGTTAACACAACCATAATTACTATATCTCAATGTTTATATGAGGTAACAAATTATAGTTTACCCAGCACAAAGCATTTCAGATCCTTTACTGCATTATGTTGGTATGCTTATTGGTACATTTTATTAATAGTACCAATGTAAAATACAGAAACTTATTCTCTGCTCTTCATGGTGTTAGGTAGCAAAGGAGAGGATTTGCAGACAAACTTACACTGCTTAGAGCCTATTTAAACAAACAACATCATCCCACATAAAGTGACAATATACTGTAAAACATTTGCACGATAGAACCAAACTATACAGCAGAACAAAGAGTAAGTCCAGAAAGATTTCAGGGACATACATATATACATAAATACATACATATGTACATGTAGGAAGGAAGAATGGAAAGTAAATGGGGCCTTGAGAAATCAGGTAAGGTTTTACAAAGTGTTAGAACTTGCACAATGTCTAAAACCAGGTAGGCTTTAGACTGGGGGATAGAAAAGGCATTACTTGAACTAGGAACACCACAGGCAAAGACATGGAGGCCAAATGTGCACAGACCAGCCTCACATGACCATTCAGATGAGCTCCGCCAGAGTAAGGGGAGCAAGTTACGGTGCATGTTTCTTGAGGAATAGCAGGTTTTATAGGTTTGATTAAAGGTGATTTAAAGATTGTACTGGGAAAACCAAACCAAAGACTGTAGTATAACTTAAACACTGTCCAAAATTACTTTTGGGGGATAAATAAGCAAACATACAATTTCAGTTGCAAATATACTTTGGTGGATCGGCCCACTCAGTATTTTTTCCCATTTCGTTGCAGTCAAACTGTTATTTCCCACATCCCTTTCACTGTGGGCTCTAGATATGATTTAAATCCCACCAGTCAGAGAGCAAGGTGCTGGGGACAAGGCATCCATTTGGCTGGTCCCATTCTGTCAGGTGAAGAGACAGCAACGGAGCCAACAACTGTGTCTACGAATTCCTGATAATCAGATTTGCCTCAAGTGATGTGTTCCTGGAACATGTAGTTGAGACAACGAGAAACCAGCTTCCTGATGGAGGCCCACGTAGCAGTTTCCTCAGCAGGTCAGCTGAATGGTAGTATTCTGGAGCTCACTCCCCGAGGCCCAGAGAGACCTGCTATTTGATCTCTTCTATCAATTTCACAGGCACTTAATTTCCTGCCTTAAATCCCTGTTGTTTCACATACATAGAAAGATTTCTATTATATTAAACCCTGACTAACAGTCTTAATTTTATTTTTCTTCCCTTTAAAATGGCTTATTACGGGAACGTTTAAACATACATGAATGTGAACAGAATAGAAGAATGAACCTCCGTGTATCAACTTCAGCTATGATCAATTCAAGCCAGTCGTTCAGGTTTTACCCCCAGCATCACATAGAATAGTTTTATTTTATTTATTTCTTTTTTTTATCCTCACCTGAGGACACTTTCCCATTTTTTGTTCAGGTAGAGTGGGAGGGAGAGAGAGGAACAGAGAGAGAGAGAATCATCGATGTGAAAGGAACACATCGAGTGCTGCCACCCGCATGACCGACCAGGGCCGGGGACAAACTGCAACCGAGGTACGTGCCCTTAGCGGGAACCGAACCCGGGTCTCTCAGGGCCGCAGGTCGACGCTCTAACCGCTGAGCCAAACCGGCCAGGGCCATAGAATCGTTTTAAAGCAGATCCCAGGTATCCTATCATTTGTAAATATTTCAGCACATATCTCTAAAAGGTAAAAACTCTTTTTTCAGATAATACCACCATATCACTGTCAAACCTAAAAAATAACAAGAGTTCCTTAATATCACTAAATATCCAGTAACATTCACTTAATTTTTAAGTTATTATGAATCACTGTTGATTGTTGCTGTTGTTTTTATTCTGAAGAACGAATAAAATCACACTGCTCCTAGCTCAACTCCTGAGAAGTAATCATGGTAGCCAGGTCAGTGGTTTTGAGAGAGTGTTAGGCCTCAGGCTAATGATGGTCCTGTTGTTCCTGCCATCCTTTCCAATAACTGACTGAGCCTGTTTACCCACTTGGGATCTTTGAATCACTGGGCTCTTAAGTGGTAATAATATGGATCTATGAGTTGCTTTTCTGTATTTCAAAAGAACTCAAACAGGCAAAACAGACATATCTATGAGTAATAAAAATGGGAAAATGAATTAATGGAGTACTACGCAGCTGTAAGAAAGAAAGATCTCTTATCCTTTGAGATTACATGGAGGGACCTGGAAAGTATCATCCTAAGTGAAACAAGCCAAACAGAGAAAGACAAGTATCATATGATCTCACTTATTTGTGGAATATAATGAACATAACAGTCTGAGGAATGGGATAGTCCCAGAGACGTGGAAGTGGGGTACAGACTGACAATCCCCAGAAAGGGGGGGGAGATAAACCACAGAACTTATATGCATGCATGCATGAACAATGGACATGGACAACAAAGCTGGGGACAGGGCAGGGAGGGAAGGGGAGGAGGGAATCAGTGGGGGAAAAAGGAGAAACATTAGTAACAAAAATTAATTAATAAAATAAAATAAAATAGCCCTGGCCGGTTTGGCTCAGCGGTTAGAACGTCAGCCTGCGGTTCAGAGAGACCTGGGTTCGGTTCCCACAAAGGGCATGTACTTCGGTTGCAGTTTGTCCCCTACCCTGGTTGGGTCGTGCAGGTGGCAGCCACTCAATGTGTCCCTTTCACGTCGATGTCTGTCTCTCTCTCTCTCTCTCTCTCTCTCCCCCTGTCTCTCCCTCCCATTCTACCTGAACAAAAAATGTACTCGGGTGAGGATAAATAAAATAAAATAAAATAAAACAAAATAAAATAAAATAAAAAATAAATTAAAGTTGTAGTCAAAACTCATTAAACAGTATAGTTAAGATCTGGATGCTGCATTGCATATAAATTATACTTCAATTAAAATAAAAGCTTAAAATTAATACTCAAAATTTTTGAAAACCAAGGTCCTTGGAGGTAGGGAATAACAAAAATGGCCTTTGGTAGTGAGCAGGCTGGGAGCCAGTCAGCAATCTCAGAAGAAACGGTGTTTTCTCTATCCTTACTCAAGCCTCACCACTTCGCCAGTGCTGATGACCTCAGCTCTGCTGGGACTCGGTATCGCCATTTCCTCTCCTTGGGCTTCTCTGACTTCTGTCAGCCACCCTCACCTCTGGATCTGGACAGTAACCTTGTTTAGAACCGTGAACTACCACCTGCCCCTCCTCTCTTTATTGCCAACAGTCTGAACAATGTGCTCCTGTCCTCATCACTCCCTTGAAACCATGCCCCATTGGCAAATTCTGGGTCCATCATTTTGGAGCTGTGTGACCCTGGGCAAGTAGACTACCTCCTCTTCGCCTCAGTTTCCTCTTCTGGAAAAGAAAGATAAAGTAACACCCACCTCGTACAGTCGTTAGGATGATTCCACAGCTGGGTCCATGTGCAGTACTTATAGCAGTGCCTGGCCTGGTTCTCGTAAGCTATGGTGACTATGATTGCTACTATTGCTACTACTTCCTAATCAAGACAAAAGGCCTTTTTTCTCAGTCCTCATTCTCTTCAGCTCCTTCCAGAGCATGCAGCACTCTTCATTGACCTCCACCAACTGGTTCCTCACCACGTCCTCCTAAGTGCTGCTTCTTGGCCTCCTTTGCCAGCTCCCTTCCTCTCCCCTTCCTCGCCCTCAGTGAAGGGGTGGCCCTTCTGCCTTCCACTCTTCCCTCCATACACACCAAATTCTTTCCTTTTTATGGTTTCAGACCTGTAGTGTCATGTTCATCCCACAGGGCATCTTTCAGATGTTTTTCCCCAGGCATTTTCATTTCATAAAACTAGAATTCCTTTGTGTTACGAAATAAGATCTTCATAAATGCTACTTGATAATAATCATGGCCCTTAACATGCCATGTTTCTTCATCTGCGAAATGAGGGAGATGATCTCTCAAGTTCCTTCCTGCTGAGAAAAATTTCCCAAATTCTCTCTAGACTGCAGCTGCCCTCTGGACTTCCCCACATGGATGTCTTCCATTAACCTCGAACTCCACGTGCTTAACTGAACACATCGCCTGACCTCACACTTCAGCTTTTCTATTTCTGTTAAAGATAATGTTCATTCTCTTCATCACTTAGACTTGGAATCCAGCCGGAGATCACTTCAGTGCTACCTCATGTCTAATCAGTCACCAAGTCTTATCAACATTCTTTCATGGGGTCTGTCCCTTCCCTTCCTCTCATTCCTTTCAGCTCTCCAATCCTGACTCTGCCTGTGGCTTTCCTCCGTGCTGCCTACTGATCCCTCCCACCTGCCCCTCTCTAGACACAGATTCTACCTGAAAATATGTCTTGTACATTCCTCTCCCCTCTGCCCCACCAGTCATAATTTTTCCTAATGTCTACGGGATAAAGTCTAATCTCCGGAACCTCAAATTCAAAACCCAGATTGCTCACGATGATCTCTTTAATTTTTCTGTCCCATGACTTTCTTTCTGAACCTTCCAATCCTGCAATGGATCTCCTCTTATTCAGTTTTCTGCTCTGTTCACATCATGCCCTTGGTCCT